ATCAAACACAGTAAATATTGTGTTTTCTTAAATCTAAACCAGTCACATACCAAAACCAAAAAACTCTTCGGTATCATACATACAGTCTTGTATAAGAATCTCTTTGCATCAAAAAAACAGCACTTATAGTATATGTATGTCCGTAATATTTATTTATTTTCAAAATGACATTACTATCTTTCTAAGTCAATATTTGAGGTCACGGGTAGATAGTACCTATAATAGAGCTGTCAAAGATAAAAGACCACAGAAAAGATAAGAATACCAACTTATGTCCTGTCTTTGTTTATCTGTGGAATCACTGGACACTCGTTTTCTGTGTAGGTTATTCAGAAAAATATTATCTATCTTCTGTGACTAAAAATTGTCAGTAAGTATCCCTGACCTCTTGCATGGCAATCCACCAATGCATGAGGCAGGTAATAGTGCTTAGGTATTTGCTTCAAATCCCATTTACTAATAAGTGCTACTACTAGTTCCAAAAAAGCGCGAGCGATGCAATCGCCAAGTATGAACACTCCAATAAGAATCTCACAAATTGCCAGATTAAAAAAAGAAACAACATAGTTACCAAATAGAGATCGAATAAAAACAAAATGATGATAACAACATCGGTATAATTTGGATCAGTCTCATTGAGGGCCGTTAAAATCGATAAAAGGCGTAGAATCGAAAGCGTTAATACAAAAAAACGGAATAAGGTCGCCAGAGGTCGCTCGGGTGTAACGTCTCACACGATTAGTTAACTTGGATTAATATTCATACAAATTGGTACTGAAATTCACTCTAAATTCTCTGTTATAAATGTTGTATCTAAAATTGTATTTCACATAACATTACGCCTTTTATCCCCGAAAGATTAGGCAGAGATGCACATTATGATACTTAATGCCCCTGTTATAGGTATAATGTAACACCCACTTTTCACTATTTATGTTATGAGTCCCATGTAATAGGGGGTGAGCCTATTCTCATATATCGGGCTCAATTCCAGACTCCGTGCTACTATTGACAATTTAAAAAAAATCCCAATAATATTTTGCCCGACCCGGGAATCGAACCCGAGACCCCGTGCTGGGCAGTCGCACTTACGACCACTCGGCAAACGAGGCAGTCTAGAATTGTATTCCTTGGGCAATATTCCGTTCTATGTATCACTCACAGCACGACTGACTGACGACTAACACGCTAGTTTAAATGCCAGTTAAAGGTTTGTCTCAGGTTAGATTCCTTGGTGGGGTAAAGTATTACTGGAGTCTATTTCGGTTTTCCGAAAATTAAAGCGCAGAGTCTAAAAGTAAGCCCGATGCAGTGTAGAGTGTAGAGCTGTGCACATCGAGACTCACCCCCTATTGATTACACGATTCAAGAACCCTGAAGTAACATTTCCAAACTGTATAGTTAAATTAAATTATACACAAACAAACGCAAACGAAGCAACGTCAAACAATATGAGTTAAATACGTCAATTAGATAATTGTAGGATAACCGACCAGTATGTCACGTGCGACGTTCATTATGCACTGTTTAATAATAAACTATAGTCTATTGTTTATTTCTACGTCATTGTAATTAACTCCTTATTATACATTCCTTTCTTTTGTATTAACTTTAGTTGCATGCAAATTGTTACGTGGTGCTCTTTCCGCTGTTAGATTTCCAATGACTCTTGAACTTGAACTTAAAAGAAACACAAGGGTCATAATAGAATGTCATAACGACAACTTTAACTAAGATACCAATTGCCCAAGTTGTGTGTCACCCAAATTCACTGATTTTAGATTTAAATTGCTTTTGCTGCAGATATCTCAGTGTGCAGATATCAATAAGGATGCTTACCATATGGTAACTAAAGATAGATCATCTACAAACTTCTGAAATCATAGTTTTCTTTTTCATCTTGGCCATTTAATAAGAATAAAGCAGATACTAACAAAAGAATATTTAATTATACTTACGGTAGCCTTGTAAAACAATGCAATTCAATCTCCCCTGACGGTTGAGGTGGACAAGACGAGAGTAAGTACTTTCCCTATCGCATTGATAGTCCAATGATCCGATAATTTACTTTCACTACCTGGCTACTGGTGACAATAAGGCCCAGAGCAGACCTGCTACTATTTTAACGGCTTCGTTTTTATTTTTTGAAAACCTGTTATCGCGTCTGAGCCCTATTTGAAACCTTTTATAAAGTGGCATGTTTAAAATGATTCCAAAATAAAACCAAGAAGTGTCATTGCGATTACATCTATCCGAATTGTCTCAAGTGCTAAGCAAATGTTTTATCAACATGTCCCGCACGTGTGTTGTGTATATCACGTGGTCGTCCGCATGCATATTGTTACAATCGCGTTCAATAAATCTTTAAACATAGGCACCGTATTTCCAACGCACTAAAAACAACATTTTTAATCACATTTCTTAATGAAAACTTTACCGATAAACCTCTTTCAACAAATGCATTTGAATTAAGAACGGAATATGGCGCGAAATATTTGACGTCTACGAACAAGATGGCGCCGGTTAGTTAAAAATATGACAATAAATCAATCCTTTCTCTTTTTACGTTATTACAATGTGTTCTCGAGAAGTTTTAGTTCACAGGTAAGTAATATTGAGGCCAATGTGTCGAATACGCTTAACACCGATTCTCATCAAGTAAAAATAGCTATACTTGTAGATGGTGTTGTATTTCAACATTTGACGTTGATACCGCGGAGAAAGAGAAATGAAAAGTTCACAGGCATGCGAATGTTGCAAGAGGTTAAAAAAAACGGAACAACTTTTTAACTGTCGGAGCTGTCATAAAGTTTATTAAGCCAAATACAAAAATCTTGTATAAAATGATGAATGTGTTCTTACAAGCATCCTATTCTCTATTATACCTAAATATTTAAATATGGCTTCCGTTTACGACTTTCTTACTACCGGGAAACACACGTATCTTAGGAAATCTAAATTAATCCATATTGAGTCAATACTTTTTTCCTGTTTAACTCGTCGAGTACCGTCATTATAGACACAATTATAGAACATTAGGTTGCGGTCACCGGTGACCGCTTGGTGTTTGACAGTTTAAACAACAAACAACTAAATACACAAACTTAGTAAGTCCATTAGACCACTATTTTATAAATTGAACTTTACACTATGGAATTTAGTTTCAATTTGAAACACTATTAACTGTAGATCGATATAAATAAATATTTATCTTCGTGAGTGTGACTAACGCTTGTCTAGACTTCGTACCAAGCTGTGTTCGATTTTCTCCTTTCTTGGTCTTGTAACTAAGTGATTAATAATACTTAGCCGCATACTGAAGTAAAACTTAGCTTAACTTTATTAAATTACCAAAAAACGCAATTAGATGTCTAAATTCATCATTGTTGAGTTCAACTTGCGATTTCTATAGAATTTCTATGTTCTGTGGTTGAGATTTTACGACTAGTAGACTAACGTACTGATAGTAAAGAGACTTCTGACTGACATAGTGACATATGACGTTCAGTCAGTCACTTATCAGCCGCTAAGAGCCATGTCTCCGACATCTCAGTGAGACGTGAAAACGTGTGCATATGCCGACACGATAACATCACTATAACTTTGAAGATATGCGGATTTAAGATCACTAGTGTACATATTTGTTTACCTATTAAAGTAGATTTTATCTTGGTGTACGGAATAGTAGGTAGTAAATTTTTGGATATCTTAGTAAAGTACATATTATAGCAATAAAACATTGAAACGTTAGGAGAAAGAAGAAATTGGTGGAAGTCCAAATGAATGGATTGTAAAAGAAACTATTTTAAGGGTAACAAGAATTGAGTAAAAGATAAAGAAGTATGTGTGTAGTATGATTGTATCGTACCCAAGCTTAGGAAAACTAACATAAACTCATAAATGTCGGATTAGGAAAAATCCACAACATTTGTTCATACAAAACTAGTCTCTAAACATCATAAATAAGATGGATGTATAATGGTGTAAGTGGAGAGCAGTCACCGGACCGCTTGACCAGTAACTGTAATAACTGACAACAATTATAAATAAATAATCCACTTTCCTTTATGTATAACAAAAATAGAGGTTCGAGTATACCAAGAATGTAAGGACCTTAATTTTAGTACCGGTGATAAAGAACTCCAACCTCCTAACAGCTGCCACCTTTAACAAATCTATGTTAAACACAACTGTCTGTATCTCAATAAACCTACTTGGTCACCTGTAACCGGTTTAACTAACCAGTAAGTTGACGATAACGTATGTATACTACTTTTTCCAGTTTCCATAATGTTCTCATATCATTTAGTATGGCTGGTTCTACTTTCTTTCTATCCCCTGTATTTTTATCAACTTGGTTAATTCTGATTCCTAACGTAATTTGGTTTAATGTTAATATGTTACATAGAATGATAAGTGAAAGAACTATTATGACTATTTATGTTAGGTCATCGTTCATTCGGTTTTTTGAATATTTATAGGTTAATGATTTGCCAAAGAAGAGAAAAAAAAAAAGAAGGTTAATCATGACTGTAATTTTTGATTTATCAATCAAATTGGAGACCCACTGCCCTTCTATAAACTGTGTTCGTAAGACATTCTTAACAGTAGCGTACCTACTTAACTTTTACTTATTTTCTATCGACTTTTAGATGCGTATTCATATAGGTTACTAGACCAATGAAGTAATCAACTGTCAAACATCTTAATCAAAGTCATATAAACAAGCCTGCCCACGAAAAGTACGTTCGTAAACACAATTTACGCTTTTTCACTCGTTTTAATTGATTACAACGAATTAGCTGCGCCCGCAGCCATTACTTTAATCACTAATTAGGGAGTTCTATTTACTCGACCAAATGATCTCTGACGTCGACCAAGTCGTTAAGTGCACGAAAATATTTCTACAAATATTTTTTTAAGTTCATTAAGGAAGTTTTGAGTTTAAGCTCGTTTGTGTGTGAATGTGTTATCAATGACAGTAACATTTCTACTTTCAGATGGTATCGGGAATCATGCGATCAACGCTATCGGGACAGCGCTCATCTGAAGACTAGTGACGTCACATGAACGCGTTGTTGATAGTTAATCCTCGAGTAGTACGTGTATATCAGTGGCGCGAGTCGAGTATCGACAGTTCGATCTAGTGCGCATCACTACGAGATTTGAATTCGAATTTCTTACCGCGTTGGAGCGGTAGTAAGTGTAGTAACTGTGAAGTAGGACTCGCGTGTGCAGTGGACGTTAGAGAACAGTAATGGCCAGCACCGGCAGTGAAATTTGGCTGCAATGGTTCGCGTGCTGCTACCAGCCCGCCGCGCAGGCGCAGCGCACGCGCCGGAGAATAGACCGATCCATGATCGGCGCGCCGACCAACTTTCAACATACAGGACACATAGGTACGTTTCTAACTAACTTATGTCAATTATGTATGTAGTTTCATTGTCTTGTCTGCTGTCTCTGAGACGTACCTAACTGGGAGAGACATAACTATCGCATGTTCAAACAACGACGGTGCCAGAATTCTAACTTAAGTATGTATGGCATAATCGGTAATATAGAACGTTTTTTTTAAACTTCCCACAAATATAACTAAAAACAACTACACATTCAAGTTTACTACACATGAAGCCCAAAGTTATCCTTAGTAAAATTTGGAGTAGCTAGCAGATTCAACCTACTCCAATCAGTCAAATTTATTCATTGGATTTTTTACTTAATGTCAATGCTATAAAGTTGAAGATGTAATACAGAAATTTGACAGTAATGCAAAGGCTGCTGCTGGCAACAGTACGACTGAAGAAAATAGATATGACGTCACCATATACAAACAAACTGCTAATTATTGTCCTAAATCACACACAACAAATAAGGAAGATGAAACAGTAAATACAGATAATACAACGATGTTTAATGTTCACAAACATAGAAAAAGTGAAGCAGAAACAAGTTCTAATGTTTTTGTTAGAGTGGCTGATGTTTCTCATAACAGTGAGTCACAGGGTTCACTAGAATATACAGTTCTCAGTAGCGCTACTGGTGGTAAATGGTAATCGTTGTTGTATGACTTTTATTCATTCTTTGTTACACTTATTGGAACCTTGATTTGAATATCAAAGAGACTTTGTTAATCATATCATCAGAACTAGGATAATTTCTATAGAGGAAACTTTTTTGAATCATCTTGCTAAATAATACAGGAAGCTATTTTGATTTTGAATCATCTTGCTAAAAAACTAATTCAATAACTAAAACAGTTTAAAGTCTTTTGTATAACAGTCGCAAGTGATTGATAAACGCGCTGTTCTGGGTTTAGTCAAAGAATTATTTAGCTGTTTGATTTCAAGAGTTTCGGTAATGAGATGGGATAGGAAAGGGGTTCTACGGCCAAAATAAAATCATAAACTTGACTTTTAACTCCTGGTGGACAATGTATGAAATAGATACATCTGTCTACTTTCTGTAGAAAACCAAGCAATACCTAAACGTGGCTTACCTACTTATTGCTTAGTGCTAATCAAGTTATAAACCAGAATTTTCTAGAAGTTTGGATGGAGAAAAATCCACCAGAAATACGCATAATTTTACCCCAATGCCATGGTACTTGGCTATCTCTTATCTATATCAAATAAGCACTCGAGGACGATCAGCGTAATCCTGACGATCGATGGCTTGATAACGAGCTGTCACTCAATAGAAACTTTATCATAACCTTCCCGAAAACCAAGGTGAATGACCGATCAGACACCGATACTGGTGGATACCAGATAGGTTTGTACATCTCCTAGTTCATCTGCACTCAGTGGTCACGAAACAACGAAGATCTAAAGTTAAATGATGACCTAAAGTTGTGGTTTAAATAAACACTGCATATACGTCTATGGGCCCACTCAAACTGACATGGTTCTGTCTGCAAAAACGCATAGTTAGAAACTTTATATTCGTTCGTTTCCTTTGAAACTAGTCCTCACTAAGGCTCAAAAATACTGAAACGTTAATAACGTCTTTCTACAATTCTAGAGTGACGACAAAATACTACAAGTCTAAAACCATTGCAGAATCTTAAACACATTCGTAATCACTAAAAACTAAAAATGAGTGCATTTCACGCACTTTCCATTGCAAAAAGTAACAAGTCAGGATATGTAAGGATTACAAAACTGAGTCTTATGTAATTGACATAACGACTAATACGTGTTTGAACGGCATACAGTGAGTTATATAAAAAAAACGCATTGGTATTCTAGAGGACGGTATCCTGCCTATTTTGGTTACGAATAGATGAGTACAGGGGATCCTTTAAAAGGAATGCTATTCTGTCCCATAACTGACGAGGATCGTACTTTTAAGGGAATGGCTTGTCAGTGTGCAGTCTCTGTAGTGTTTGTAGTAACTCTTGTGTTTGTATATCTACATATCTGACGTTTTGTCACCCCTAGATGCTCTGGTTTGAACTGGTTTAACTTAGCCCCCTTGCGCACTAGCGGTTCACCGCCTAGGCAGTTCGTATCAACAGACGCGGTTGCCATAGCGGTTGCATATTAAATTGGAAATCCGGTAAACCGCAGGGAGCGGCTAGCCGCGCGGTTGACCGCTAGTGCGTAAGGGGTCTTAGGGTTGCGCAGGTTTGCGTCTTTCGTTGGTTTCAACACTTCTTTTGGAGTCACAAATTTTTGGTGGGTCAAGTAAAAGACTTTTTGGCTAACAAGGTAACATAATTTTAAGCCTTTTATCCCCGACGGGGCAGAGGTACACGTTACGACACTTAATGCCACTATGCTATGTAACACCCACTTTCCACTATTTTATGTTATGAGTCCCATGAAATAGGAGGTGAGCCTATAGCCATATACCGGGCACATTTCTCAGACTCCGTGCTGCTACTGAGATTTTTTGAAAAACCCAATAATACTTTGACCGACGCGGGAATCAAACCCGAGACCCCTTGATGGCCCCTCGTTTCGATGCAAAAAAATCCATGTGTGAAGAAACGCTTCACTTAATATTTTAATCAGTTCTTTGCACCTACCTGGTGGGCCAAAAACTCCATCAGTCACACACTATGACTAGATATCACATTTTTATTTTATATAACATTAATTAATAATTACCAACAAAAAATATGTCGGAAATATCACTCCTAAAAGAATTTTAAATGCACAAATCAATTTAGTATATTTTTTGCACTCTGCGGTATTTAATTGGACACAAAAAAGGTTTTAATGGTTGCGTTGCAATCAGGATTATTTCTGATTTCCTTTTCCCATACGCTGCTGTACATTCCTAGGACCTATTAGATATAATTTAGTGATCTAAGCTAATACTAGACTCGTCTAGACCAGTTATTAGTCCTCTTCAATCCTGTTTAGGCCGCCTCTTTACTATCTAACCACGGTAAGATTTATTCTAGTCGGACGTTGCCTTGAGATTTGTTTTATCAAATGTTTGGTTTTGGAAAATTACAATTAATTCGATTTTAGTAATTAAATTCATTTGTCTGACATTTTAATTTGGGTCAGATGTACCGAAAACTTTCTAGCAGTTCGATTCACGTTGGAATCACAATAAAAAAATATTGAGTTGTATTTCTCCATTCGTACTCGATATTCGCCATATGATTTAAAAAAATCTATAATTTACTTTATTAAAACAAAGAAATCGCCAAACTCAAAGACAAACAAAATCTCTATCAGGTACTAACTACATTTTTTTTTACTTATAAGTTTAAAAACCAGTTTATTTTGATCTAGTTTGCGTAGCTCAAAATCGGAACTGAACGTATCCTAAAGCGCGATTTCAAATTTGGATAGTGAACGTTACTTTTTGCACTGGTCGGCCATTGGTTAGACATAATCGCCAATTAGACCATACATACGACTACAGATAATATCTATTTCATTGAATTTTAATGAGTTCCGCTTTTGTTTAAGTAAATTACAGGTTTATTGCAGACCAAAATTTCTAAAATCTAATTTTTGGTAAGAAACTGCAATGTTTTGGAGATTAGAAATCATAAAATCTTGTCTAATTTGTTGATTAGTTATGGAAAGTGGAGCGGATATTTTGAAGTTTCTTGGCTATTTGTAGAAAAAATAATTCATTTATCGCAATTCTACGTAGGTACTGCAGTGCTGACAGTATAATGCCAAGTTAACTTTCATGAAAAACCTATGTAATATTCTGAAATGCCATAAATTTTTACATAACATCACACTTTTTATCCCCGAAAGGGTAGGCAGAGGTGCACATTATACCACTGTGCAATGTATCACCCACTTTTCACTATTTATGTTATGAGTCCCATGTAATAGGGGTGAGCCTATTGCCATATACCGGGCACAATTCCAGACTCCGTGCTACTACTGAGAATATTTAAAAACCCAGTAATACTTTGCCCGACCCGGGAATCGAACCCGAGACCCCTTGCCCGGCAGTCGCACTTACAACCACTCGGCCAACGAGGCAGTCATAAATTTTTAATCCATTTTATTTGACAAAACATACCTTTCTGACAGCATTGGTTGCATTTCACAAAAAATGTACTTACCAAAACTAAGTGTGGTAGAGCCATGCTTCGGCACGAATGGGACGGCTCGGATGGAGTGATACCACGGCTTCACAGAAAACCGAAGTAAAACAATACTTGCGTTGTGTTTCGTCGTGTGAGTGAGGTTACCAGAGGTCCAATTAAATGTCCCCGTCCCCGAATCCCCAACAATCCTTAAATTCCAAATTCCCAAAAGGCCGATAACGCATTTGTAAGACCTCTGGTGTTTCGGGTGTCCATAGGCGGTGCTGATTGCTTACCGTCAGGTTTCAATAAAAAAATAAAAAATGCATCTACTTATATCACATCTACGTATTCTGGACTATAAAATTTATCTCAATCAGTTCAGCAGTTTCGGTGAACAAAGAAACAATCGAACAAAGTCACTTTCGCAATTATAAAAATTTAACGACCAGATTACATTAACAAAGTATAGACTCTTATACAATGCAAGAGTTCTTTAAACTTTCTCATTAATGAAGGTGAATCTGATAAATTAATTGCTAATGCAAATGTCTACTATCTTTTATAAGCAGTCTTACAACTATCTCAATCATAAAATATCTAGACAAAGAATTAATTGGTCCACATTGATTTCTCTCAGAAACCAATTTCGCAATGACAAATCAAAACCACTTTTAAAATAATGTATTAACTCGTCGAGTACCGGTTTTGTAGACACAATTACAGAACAATAGGTTGCGGTCACCGGTGACCGCTTGGTGTTTGACAGTTTAAGGTAGCATTTGTAACTAAAACTATTTCTATAAACTAATTAATACCTACATAATATCATCAAATTGACAAGTTACCAATATTATTTATTGCTTTTTAATGTAGACTGTGAAAGGC